TCCAAATCATTTTAATTTACCACGTGGTTAATTGCTTATTGAGAAAGCCCAAGTCTGGAATTAAATCCGACTGGAATCGATAATGCTCAAAAATCTACCAATATGGTCGTATTAGAAGAATCCTGAAAAGAAGAGTGAGCCACATTTCCTTCAGAGCAATGTGACGGACTCATTGACAGTTACCACAAATACTTGATCGCACTTATCAATAATTATTTTCAATTAATAAATTAAGTCATCGTTTAAAAACTGCATTTTCTCAGGTTACTTTTGTCTCATATTAACATTTTTTTTTATATTTAAATGTGTGAAGTGTAAAATAATATGCAAGGGTGGGGGCAACTAAAAGAGCACTAAGTAAAAGGAACCCCTGAAAATTAATGATACTAGTGCAAGACAGTCACTACAGGTTGGCTGTATTATGCAACAAACCTTTAGCAACATGCAGTAAGAGGATGACTCGAGAGGATAACGCAACCGAAGTCTAATCTGAATGGCCATGTTCAGACTACGTAGTATTATTGGAAGGAGTCCAGAGGAAATCAGACGTGTACATGTGCTGGAGCAAAGTTCACAGGGGCCAGCTCTCTGAGGTGCAAACATTTGTAACCCATTTTGGAGAGGTTACTCTGTGTCATGCTGCATACACAAAACTGAACCGTTTCACAACTCGACGTCAAAACGAGTGCTAAAACCCTGGAGGTGTGTCTGGGTTTTTATAACCAACTGACGTGTCCTGCTGTTCCTGCACACATAAATAGCCATACTAGTACACCGACACACAGATGTCACATCCAAATCAGGGCTTCCTGTTAAACCTATAATAAACCTGCAGGTCCGATGGTAAGGCCAAAGATAAAGTGTGCTTTAAAAAGAAGTCAGAATGAATGGTCTACCTGTAACCACCTAAGAGTTTATTATATTTTTGTATTATTATTGTGCTGAATGTATGTGGCCACAAATGACTAAATAGGATTTGATTTCACTGTGTTTTTTCAAGTCCAAAGTCAGAGCAGGTCTGAACTGCTTAAAGTACTACTGCGTAGTTTAATGACTGCCATATCACTGTGCTTGATTGGTAAAACCTCCCTGACCTACATCACATTGAGAATATACCTTATATTGTCAAGAAGATGATGACTAGACAGTACAGACAAACCGAATGCCACTGTTAAAGCAATCTTCTTTTAACACCTCAGCAGAGTTGCAGGCTGACTGCACCCATGCCATGCTGCACTGATGAAGAAATGCATGACATTCATTCAAGCCAAGCCAAGTGTACCTACTTCTCAGTAGGCTTGCATTTCTGCATTAAGACCTTCTCTAGTTAATTTCAAGTAATAGCGTTTTCTGAGAAACGTAATCTTGGGTTTTCCTTAAAAATTAACCAGAGTAAACACTTGAAAAGCTTCACTCTTTGTTTTCCCTTTTTTTAATTGAATTACTTTTACACAATGACTTTTTCTTTATAGTCTAACCTATTAAAATAAGAAATCATTTTGAGCAGTTTTTTAAACATTGAATTTAGTTTGAATTGTGGCACTTCTTGACCTTCAGACCTCTTTCAAACTGAGAAATGAGGTCTTGAAAGGCACATATTGGCAGCTAGCACACAGGTCCTTTCACCTCCACCTCCATCTGCACCACCGCAACATGAGCCCACTCACAGTTCAACCAAAGTGTGGTCAATTAGTTTCTAAAGTCTGCAACTACACCTTTTACTCAATCAACCATCACACATGCCTGTAGTTAGATTTTGTAGGAAAACCTTTGAATATTTTAAGTCCTAGCCTCCTAGATATTTAGATTGCACTATGAGAACGGGTGTGTTAATTTTTAAATAATATTATTAATTTAGTCACACACGTAAAAGGCTGTTTTGCAGTTGAGTGGCTGAGTTAGCTGACACCAACAGTTACAGAAAACACAGGCAGCAGTTAGATGCTGTCACCGGACCGCTGTCAGTCCTCCCGGCTAACACACCGACACCTTCATCAGGCCAAACTCACCGACTAAAACCGATAAGATGAGGCGAATCGCTGGCTCCGGCGAACCTAAAGACTCCGACAGTTTCTCCAGCAAGGGAGCCGCCATCTTTCTTGTGGGCGGAATCCTATCTTATGCGACGAGTCAGTCAACTTTGGAGGGTGCGCTTTTTTAACAGCTCAACCCCATATCCACGCTTTAACGGCTCGACCTCCTTTAACTGTCAGGTTTTCTCCTCCTACAGGTCCTCCTCTGATGTCTTCATCATTATTATATCAGGAATTATTTTTTCTGAATCCCGTTTCTTATAGTTTTTGCTACGAAATAACCAAATGTGGGCAGTAAGCCTGTCTGACCGTGAAGCAAGCAAAAAAGAAAAACTATGTTTATTGAAAACAGACGAGGGAATGTTGTGCCTAGTCTGCCCCCATGTGGCCAGTAGAAGATACAACAAGTATGGACACTGAAATAAAACGTTATAAAACATACAAAATCCCGTCATTTCTATCGGTAATATGATTTTAAAACAGTATTTACTATAGAAGAAGCGCTTATATCCACAAAAAAAAATGTGGATACACATATTTTTAAGCAAAAGGTATCTAAGCCTTCAGGATATGAATAATACCGGCTGGATGGTGATTGGCTGTTGAAATAGCATGAGAAAGAGGAGGGACCTTTCCTCCATAAGTTACTCGAGTTCATATTTGTTTTTTGTAAGGTTAAGACAGATATCTGTCATAATTTGTGTCTCTTCCTCGCGGTAATTAGGTGTTTAAGCCAAATGTTTGCATATATCAATCAAGTTTATTTGCAGTTCAAAGATATTTACATCATAAAAACACAAAAAAGCAGTCATAAAAGACTTCACACTGTAAACCTGTAAACATTACATTTTGTCAAAATCAAAATGGTGGTCAATGTTTATATAAAAAAACACAACCCTTTTTTGCCTCATTAACTGATTATAGATGTACTCTGTTTTAAGTCAGTTTAGTAACAAAATAAACTGATTAAATGTGCAAAAAAAAAAAAAAGATTTTTTTTAATTTCCATAAGTTCTGGGCAAAATGTTTTATTCTTGTACAAATCTAAAGTAGTTTGCAGACATTTTGGCATAATCTTCTGTAAGAAGTTATTCACTGGGTCAGGTTTTTCTGTCACACTGCAGTCTGGCTCTGCCCACAATTATTTTTTTATTAAGGGATTGAAATTAAAACCTTGTGATTGTTGCTCCTGCACTTCAGCTTTGTTGTTCTTTAACCACTTTGTAACTGGGTTTACTGCTTCAATATTTCCACATGATTTTTTTTTCCCCATAATGCCATCTATTCTGGAAAGTACACAAACTGTACGCATCAAAACCTCCACAAAACATGGCGTTTAATATAATGGATATTATTTCAGCGACCCATAATTCATGTTAGCAAAAATGAAATTGTCTGAGATAAATTGCAAACCATAAATCTGAATTTTTCTGTTGATTTAATTAAATTTTACAACAATACTTTGACATTAACAAATTATGGGGGCTTCTCATTATGAGAAACCTGCTAGACAAATATCTTAAGAGCAAAGATTCCTGTACTAGCCAACGGGTCTAGACACTATTTATAAACGAGACACACACTCTTGCTTACGGTGCAAATTATCAGCTTACTAAATTTAGCAAAACACCATATTCTCCTTGATACAATGTCATTCAATATGACAAAGTAACTGTACATCTATGATAAACATAATTAAAAGCCAGTCCAGATGCATCGTAACACGATTTTCTTTGTAGCGCAATGCATCCTGGGTAAGAAACAAACAGCCGGAATCTACTGTCCAATCGGACGTACAATCGTTGGAAAAGGGCGGGACTAGTTTAATCACAGCCAATCGAATGACGTTTTTCACATTACTCAGAGTATTGTTATGAATGTTCTATTTGGCATTGTTTATAACATAGACATATATAAAGATTATTTTTACTCTTCTATTATGTCTATGGTTTATAATACTGACTCTCTGCTCCTTCGACTTTTTTATTCATGATTGTAAATATTAGCAACAGGAGACCTTTATATAAATATTCCTCATCTGATATTATTTGCACCCGTTTATAAGAAAGCTCTGAAAACAAACTGAACTCTTTAGGTTTCTAAGATCTAGCAGCTAAATTTATCTGTAATTACCTATTTAGTTACATTTTGACATAAAGTTGCTTTTAATAAATAAAAATATTGAAATGCATCAAAGCTACCATGACAAAACAGATTATTACTAATAAACTCACATTTTTGACTATTTAACTATTTAAACTCTTTGAATGCACGTGTAGGAACTGCTTTTATTTTTCTTTCAGCCAGAACATGCAACTAGCCAAAACGACAAACATAAATTTGAATATGTGGTATAAATAGGTCCTTGTATATTTCAGCTCTTGCTTTTGTTTCTTCTTCTTGCTAGATGCCTCGAAACTCATCTTTAAATCAAGTGATGATTCAGTAGTGCGAAATATGAATACTTTTTTTTAAGCTTTTCAGCATTCAGAATACATAATACAACTCAGAGGTGCAAGATTTATGGAAGAACGCCCTCTAGCGTCACAATATGGGATATGCCTCAATGAATATTGATAATTTATATTTATTGGCCAGCAGGTGGCAGTATATGGAGTGACTCATTGGAGTTCAATGAAGTTGCATTTGATTGCTTGTTTAAGAATACAACAAAATAAAACCATTCCAGACATTTGCTTGACATCTTCGAAGCAGCAGATAATGAAACATAAAAACGTTAGATGGCTTAAATGCAAGATTCACCCATGTAAGAAAATAGCTGTGACACTGTAGGTCCAAAATAAATTTAGTCTGTTAAGTTAATTCAGCAGCTAGAAACTGGTCGCTGTCCTAGTTCCTGGTTATGTGTTTATTTATTGACATGGATTTCTGTAAGAGTTTTGCGACATGATGTTTTCACACGGTACTTGAACGCACCGTGACTTTCCCTCTTTCCCCTTCCTCGCCTCTGATCTATGGAAGATGCGTTCACGGACGTCCTGTCACACGAACCAATCCGCCTACATGAGAGGAGGAGTCAGGATTTCCGTCTTCATAAATACCCCGAGCTGCCCTCTATCGTTCGCTCTTTCGCCCCAGACAAGAAGGACTGTGCCGTTCAGTCATTTTTTTCATTTCCCTAGTAAAGTCTTGCAAAACAAATCCGCAAACATGAGCAGGAAATTCTTCGTCGGTGGCAACTGGAAAATGAACGGCGACAAGAAAAGCCTCGGGGAGCTCATCCAGACCCTGAATAGTGGCAAGGTGGACCCCAATGTCGGTACGTGGAGATTTTTGACAACAGTTACACAATTTCCTCTTTGAATTTGGACACTTTCCTTTATTTTAAGGTTTGAACAACCCCGAACGAATTGAATTCGTGTAACTGGCCAATTTTACTTCGGAAACAGCTCGGTCATTCAATGAATCGGTTTAGACTTTTAGCATCACAAATCTCCTCCTCTGTAATATTTTACACTTGATAATAGATAAAGTCTTTGTTTCAGCTTTTCTGGCTCTAGATTAGAGGGTGAAAGTCGTGAGGAGACACTGATGAAGGACACAGAGGGCTACCGCCGTCATGTCGGCGGTGGGTGTGCGCGTGCAGAAGCACGTAGTCTCTGCAACTGCTGGGGTGCGTTCAGGTTCAACTGGTGGCTCACGTCATTTGACATGGATCGTGGCCTTTTAGCTGTAATCCTAGCACCGAAAGTGCAACAAAAAGCACAGTTATGGGTATTTTAAGTAACATAAGTGCTTATATACTTTCATAGTGGATACTTTTATACAATTTTTGCCTTCGGATTTTTTTCTTCCCATCGCGACTTGAATGCGCCGTATGCGTTGTTGCTGCCTGCAGTCTGGAGACAAACCAGACAGAGGAACTGAATGTCAGTTAGTCCCTCTTGCAGCTCTACGTTATGCAACTCTATTATTGAGTCCAACAAGTCTCACTCACTCTGTTTGGACTTTGCTCCCCAAATAAATCCACCTTTACAGAGCCAATCTGTAAAATTTCTATAATTTCCCCCCAAATCATTCTCCTCTCTCTGGTTACTTTTACTAGTTTGACTTTTAACCTCAGGGCTCCAGACCAGTCTTCGGCCTGTGCAGAATGCAAACCCCTTGGTGACCTTTTAGAGGCTGAACTCAGACCTTTAATGCAGATGACTCCAGCCCAGGACAAATGACCTTTTACCAAACCAATAATAACATGCAGCGTCTAATATAGATCCTCCTAACCCCAAAGATACAGTTACATTGTGAATGTCAGTGTCTTTACTTTACTGTACTCTGCTTGTCCCATGCAGGCTGCTGCAAGAAAAGTGCTGCAGAGTATTAACTGTATTGTAATCTTTGTTTAAATTTATTTTTTAATGATCTTAAGCACAACATTAAATTGTTGAAAACTGATGTCCAAATGCATTGTCACATTCTAAAAATGGTGTGAGGGTTTTCTCCAGATTGAGGTTTATATATTAATCACTAAATTTCTGTAAGTATTAGTACTTGCAAAGCTTTGATAATTTAGTTACTTTTGTTTTTAATTAGAGATGTACCATTTTGTCTAAATAAGCCAGTCATCCTCTGCCTGTAATGGACGGCTGACTGATTAAATATGAAAAAACTACTCCTGAAAGAACTTCTACAGTTTTTGGTCAATAATTGAATTAACCTTGATGCGCGTCGTTAATGAAAAAACAATCCAGTGAAGTTTAGGGGCGTACTTTGATTCATAAATGGAGATAATGTTCCTTTATTTTCTGTTGCAATAATAGCTGCTACCTCTGTCAAAGAACCTGCAGCACTATTCTTAATCCACAGGGTGTCTTCAACATTAAATGACGACTTTACTGAATTATCACCAGTAATGCATGAAAAGATATCCCTCTAATGTATCTTTAATTTTGATTTTCAAAAGCTCATTGCTCAGCTGCTAGCTTGAAATGTTTCCAAACAAATGAACTTGGCAAGGGAAACATGTCGCAGTTCCTTTTCTTTTTTTTAGCCAGGTGATTGGCAGTGTGCATCAATAGGTAGGGAAGAGCAACAGTGCTACTTTGTATTGCATATTATGGATTATAAACTTGTGTTTTCTGTTTTAACAGAGGTGGTGTGCGGCGCTCCATCCATCTATCTGGACTTCGCCAGGTCCAAACTGGATGCCAAGTTCGGTGTGGCGGCTCAGAACTGCTACAAAGTTCCCAAGGGTGCCTTCACTGGGGAGATTAGGTAAAAAGAAGAAACCAGTTGATTTTCTTCAGGAGAGCTTTAATGCTCCATTTTCCTGAGCTTTAATGCTCAGCAGAGCTTTTATGGTCCTGACCATTTTCCCACCTGCAGCCCTGCGATGATCAAGGACTGCGGCGTGAACTGGGTTATCCTGGGACACTCCGAGCGGCGCCACGTCTTCGGCGAGAGCGACGAGGTAAGATGATCATGTCTGACTTGCTTACAGTTTAGACTTGTAGCATTTAAATTCAAGACTAATTTAATTTAAATGCAGGCAAATGCTGTCTGAATGTAGCTTTTTCATAGCTATAGGCAGTGAAAAAGCCTATATCTGCCTTTTTCACAGCTAGAGATAGGCTGGCAATGAAAAAGCCACAACTATATCTGCCTTTTTCACTGCAATTTGAATGACACAATTCCGATATTGTCACCCCAAAAAAGATCCGATTTGCCCCACTTCTACAAATGGAACTAATTTGGATACATATCTGATTATGTTCAAAACGTTTGGAGTCTGAACAGTCACTTAATTTAAGAATTCTGCACCAGAAAAAGTTTGATGTAAAAAGTGGCTCAAAATTATGATTATGAAAGAACTCCGTGTCACAAAAACGCGTCAAATCACAATTGGATCAATTTTTTGTTCCAAACAGAAATTCCAGTCAAAGCTCCACAAAAGGCAGTTGCTATTAGTTGTTTTATTTTAATTTGCTTCCCTTGTCTCGTAATGATTTTGGGACGATTACTGTCGACTCCATTGCCGAATAACTTCGGCTGCTGTGTGATACTAACGTTCTTCTGTGCATGCAGGTCGCGTTGTCTGACAGAAAACATGCTAAACCCAGTGATAGGGATGCTAGGGCAATCCACCAGCAGCCAGCCATGTTTTGTGTTTAAAAAATGTTAAAAGTTACAAAAATTCAGATGTGCACGAGCAGCATCATAATTTGTTCAATGTGTCAGCTATATGTAGCTTAATCTGTGTTTACTGCCACTACTACTGGTCTATAAAAAAGCGTATTTAAGTGAACAAACAACCCTTAGCCTGGTGGGGTGGGGGCAAATAAAGCCTGGTGGCCCGCCAGGCTTATTGTACACCGGAGGAAGCCCTAAGTGATAGCCTAATTCTACTTTCTTTTGTTTTTCTTTTTTCCTGGGTCATTAGCTGATTGGTCAAAAGACTGCTCATGCTCTGGAGAGTGGTCTCGGCGTGATCGCCTGCATCGGCGAGAAGCTGGATGAGAGGGAGGGAGGCATCACGGAGAAGGTGGTGTTTGCCCAGACCAAAGTCATTGCAGGTATGCAGCTTCCAGGACAGAGTCTGAGTGGTGCAACTCGTGTTCAGATAGAGAGGGAGGGTTTGGAAATATGTCTGCTTGCACAATACCAAGTCTTATCTCATTGACAGACAACGTAAAGGACTGGAGCAAGGTTGTGCTTGCTTATGAGCCTGTGTGGGCTATTGGCACCGGGAAGACTGCGTCTCCACAGCAGGTAAATATTGGAAAAGCTGAATGTTTCCCCACAGAGGAACGAGCTGTATGGCTTCAAACACGATTTCTGTGTGATACCTCAGGCTCAGGAAGTTCATGAGAAACTGAGGGAGTGGCTGAAGACCAACGTGTCTGAAGCTGTAGCCAACTCTGTGAGGATCATCTATGGAGGTGAGCTGTCTGAATTATAATTGAAAAAGTTATTGACGAGTTGTAACGTCACACGCATAAGATCCCGCCCCATTTCCCTGCTGGAGGGCGAAAAACTGCTCTCTGACGATGACTAGCTTTGGTTTTAGCTGTCAATATATTGCGCTAAATCTTGAATGTACGCCTGATGTGTAAAAGAAAAAGGAACGCAGTGCTTTGCTACTAATTGTCAACACTATAACTAGAAAACTATGTCTAAGGGTATCGCATTTCACTGGTCAATAAAAAGTTTTCATTTAAAAATGAGAAATAGCAGGAGAGGGAAGTTAGAAGTTATGCTAGCTTGACTTTGACAACCTTAACATGTAGGTGTGCTGTGGAATTTGGTGTGTTTAGGTTCAGTAAAAAAAAAAAAAAAAGCCGACCCACACACCAGCTTTCTGACTGATCATCAGCAGACCGGGTGTTTAAATTAACTAATCGGCCACGATCACTTATTAATAATCTGAAAATAAACATCAAAGCTGAAAACATAAAACTGTGACAGACTCAATGATCTGTTCTTTGTGTGGGAAATGTTTTTTTTTGTGTGTGTGTTGAATCCTGATGCACCCGTGAAGCTGTTGTCAATCAGTTGCTATGGCGACAGGTTTGTGTGTAGCGTGAGGAAAAAAAAAATACGAGTAGTTTTGAGTTGCCGTTCAACGATTTTTCTGCATTATTTTTCCCTTTGTTGTGGATTAAATTGGTAATATGTGCATCTCCAGGTTTCATTTTGTTAACGGATTTGTTCTACCACTGCAGCGCTGCTACATATGGGACATAAAAGAATTGTCTTTTTGCCCTCCAGCGTTGTGCGCGTGCATGAAATTTCTGGATGTAAATCATAATAATGTGTAATTGTTGCATATTATCCTCCTAATGCATCAATGCTGCTTCTCAGGTTCAGTAACTGGTGGTACCTGTAAGGAACTCGCCTCCCAGAAGGACGTGGACGGTTTCCTGGTGGGTGGAGCCTCCCTCAAGCCAGAGTTCATCGACATCATCAATGCCAAGGCGTAAAGACCCAACCGGATCGGCTCCCTCAACTCGCAGTGCTTCTTCCCCGCCCTCTCTGTTCGAACCATTTGTGTAATGTTGTCATTCCCTCGGTTTTTTCCTCCTTTTTTATCTTTTGGTATATTTTCCCATAAAGAAAAAAGGGACAGGCTGACACATGCACTGGTGCTGCACTGATGAGTCTACTGAGAACGGCCTGTGTGCGAACCTGACCTCCACACAAAGTGCTCAAGCTGACTACCAGATGTGGACGCGCGGTCCCCTGCCTTGACTTGAAAGGTTTACGAACTTCTTCTGTAATTGTTTTTAGGATAAACTGTTCTTGTCGGTATGTTTTTTTTTCTCTGGTGTCTCTTTGTGTGATTGTGAAGATCTGTGGCTTTTTTCCCTCACTGTAGATGTGCATGATCCTTTTTTTCACTCATTTTGCAGAGAGAAAAGTGTCCATTAACACACTGGCTGTATTGTGTTATGATCCACAATTAGAAGGGAAAACTATACGGAAATATTCTAATAAACGGTTTCAAGGATACTTTGTCTCTGTTTTGACTTCTACCTTGACTTTCTAATTAAATATTTAGAAATGATTAAAGATAATTTAAAAGAACTCCTTGTCTGTACGCTGTATTACTATGAAAGCAGAGGGGCTGATATTCCTGACTTGTTGAGTAGAGAGCGTCTAATTACAGAACTGACAATACCCCGAAGGACTCCACTGCTATTTTTATTCCAAGACTGAAGCAAGAAACGGCGAACAAATATGAATTAAATACTGTTACTGTGGTGTTTTTAAGTGAATTATTGTATAGAAAATACTTATTTTACCCCAGAATATTTAAAAATGCAACTTAAAGCTTGATTATGTAGAATGAGTTTATAGTTTACTTTCCTATCATCTTTGTCTAGCTTATAACTTCACTGTACAAGATAAATATCTGTATTTACATTATGTTTTATTTATAGATATAGATAGAAAATCACTTTGTTTTGAGGGTGGAGTTGCACTATTTAATTATTTATTATTTGTTTTAATTATTCAAGTTTTGCCCAAAACGCATTAAGTCATTTCTGTAATATATTTTTTCTTTTAGGAGTACTTTTACTACACTGTAGTTCTTGCTTTTACTTGAGTAATTTTATTAAGTGTCTCCACTTTTATTTGAGTAAAATTTCTTGATAATCTACTGACTGTGAGTAACTTCACTGAATGAAGATCAGACATATTTTAACCAAAAAATTCACAAGTTAAATACACACACTTGAACTTTTAAAGTTGTATACGTTTTATATTGACAGAAACTGATTTGGATTTTTTTTTCTTTTGCTTGCTTTTTAATGGTTTTGTTAATATGAATTGTCATTTTTATCAGTAAAATACCAAAATTTCCTCCTAACTTTATATTTTTGTCCATCTGATGATGTATTTTTAAAATATTAAATTACTCTTTCTTCGGTAATATCTTAAATGGCTACATTTTACTTGAGTACATTTTTTGGTTACTCTACCCACTTCAGCTCTTTAATTAAATGAGAAACAACATTTAATTTCCCTTTGGGATCAATAAAGTATTTTTGAATTTCATTTTTTCCCCTCCAGCCCACCAGGGGGCGGCAGTGTTTTCACGTTCCACATCTTGACGTGACTCTCCGTTTCACGTCAGTGTTTACAAGCGAAGCGTGACGTTCATGGACCCGCAGAAATCCGTTTTCAATCACCGCTAAGATCCTCCAGTCTTTTCAGGAAAATGCTGCCTCTTAGAGTTTTCCTCAACGAGAGACTTTCCGCGGTGGCGGAGGAGATTTTAGGAGCCGTGGAGAAGACAATAGCGGTGTACCAGGAAGAGATTTTACGCTCCAAAGATTTAGAAATCAGGCAGCTCAGGATGCAGCTGAAGCTCCTCCATTCAGGTATTTTCTTGGTATAATTCTCCTGGAAACCATGTCCCATGCAACTTGGTGTTAAATTGTGTTAAAATGAAATTGCTGTGGCGTGTTTTCGTTTTGTAGAGCCTGAATCGGACAATTATCTTGAATCCGAGCAGCTGCATTCTCCTCCCCCTCCTTCTGCTTCTCCTTCTGTCCAGCCCCATCAGTCACCCCCTGCAGTGGCTGCTGTCCATGAGGAGGAGCAGCAGCAGGGAGGGGAGGAAGAGGATGAAGTCTGCTGCGTTGATCAGGAGCTCCCAGAGACCTCACAGGTCAAAGAGAAGCAGGAGCAGCCGCGGGGAGACGCTCCCAAGCGGCACTTCTGGATGATCCACGACTCCGCTGAGAACCAGGACGACCCGGAGTCAGAGGCGCAGGAGTTCATCTCACCCCACACCGGCCTGCCGACCACTCTGCATGAGCAGGCGCTGCACTTCCAGCAGTTTCTCAGCAACAACAACGGCGGGGGGAACAGCAGCGGCGACGAGAGCAGAGACAGGCCCTACATCTGCTCCGTGTGTGAGAAGCGCTTCACCAACTGCTCCCACCTGGCGGCCCACATCAGGACGCACACGGGCGAGAGGCCCTACATGTGTGACATCTGCAGGAAGACCTTCATCACCACCAGCGCCCTGAACAGACACCAGACCATTCACACCGAGGGGAAGCGATATATATGCGCCTTCTGTGGAAAGTCCTTTAAATGGATGGAGTCTCTAGGCAGACATGTGAGAAGCGTTCACAAGAGTGATAATGTGCAAGTATGAGGTCCGCATTAAAGCTGCAGTATGTGACTTTTATTAAAAAGAACAATGGTTTTTTTATGTATTTGTTAAAACTATGACTATGTTATGACAGTTTGTTATGAGATCGTCTGTGAAAAAAAATCGATGATCTCCTGATCTACTTTTGCTGTCTGAAGAAATGGATGCCCCCCGACCAAAAACAACCAATCAGAGCCAAGAGGCGGGTCTTAGCGCTTTCAAACAATGCTGCTAAGTATGACAATGGAGGAGAAACAGCTTACTTTCACAGAAAAAAAAAAGTTTATCCGTGGCTATGCTAACAAGGCTGAGCATTCACAACATGCTATGCTAGATGAGGTAGCACAGAGCAAAGTGGTGAGGGAGGATGAGTCATGAGATTGTGATTGACAGCGCTAATCCCCGCCTCCTTTCTCTGATTGGCTGTTTATAGTTAGCTAGGAGGCAGAGGAGCTACATTTTTCAGATCATCTGTCTCATACCAAGCTATCACGACAGTGAAAGTTTCAATAAACGTGTAACCAATTTTTTTTTTATAAAAGTTGTCCAACATTTGTAAAAATAAATTATTTTCCATATTTATTAAAACTGTAATGATGTCATGACAGTATGGTGTCAGACAGATAATGTGAATAAATCAAGCTGTTCCCAGTCAAAAACGACCAATCAGAGCCAGGACAAAGGCCTTAGTGCTGTCAATCACTCTCATGTACACGCTACTAAATGTGCTGATGGTGGAACAACAACTCACCATCGGTGGCCATGCTAACTAGCTATAGCATTCATATCAGGGTTTGTTTTTGTGAACTAGCCGTAGCGTAGCACAGAGCAAGAGGGAGGGTGTAAGCAGCATGTAGATGAGCCTGATTGACAGCGCTTAGACCCTCTTCCTAGCTCTTATTGGTTGTTTCGGACTGAGCTGTGTATTTCTGAAGTTAGTACTAGGAGGAACATTACATTTCTTATATTGTCACAACATAATGATAATTTCAACAAATGTGTAAAAACATTTTACATAAAAGTTACATACTGCACCTTTAAAGGCGTAGTTATACTTCAGTTACATGTCCGCGTATGAATTAATCATAAACTAAATAGCTGGTGTTCGGAATGTTAGTAAAGTGTGATTTACTGTATGTAGTACTGAATATGCCTGGATCCCATTTAGACTTGTATAAATTAATAATTAATAGCAAGCTGATTGTGTAAAATTAACATTTTTACGTCACGTACGGTCTATGTATCGTTTCAGAATAAAAAATTAAAAGTCATTCTTCATCTTTTATCCCCTTTTCATGCTTCAGATTACAAAGAACATCCCACGTTGCGCCAGTAGGGGGCATTAGCAGCTTTCCATTCATAATATCTTATGAATCTGAAGAATTTGGCAGAGTTAATATAATCTGTTATTTTCTCAGTGAAAATGTCAATGTTCTCATTCTGCTGCGAAAACCCTTAAATATTCCTTCTCTTTGTTTACGTCACATTTAAAATTTTAAATGTGAATCATCCATCGATTCACTCATTGTTTTTCTTCAGAAAATATAAAAGATAACCTGAATAAATGCATTTTTTAAATGTATTAGTGAAAACAATCTACAAAAGACAACCTGGCTCTGTGTGCAAATGTAATTAAACCAAATTGTGATTCAATTCAGTAAAAAAATACTTTAATAATCAGACAAGGATATTAAATATTTAAAGTAAATTCACAACTATGCATTGTTTAGTGTTGGTTTGTCACAAAAACAAACAATAAATACATTGTATTATGTTGATGTGACAAAATATGACAAAGTTAAAGTATTTTGATCCAAAATTAAAAAGTTTAAATTTGTTGTAACACAATTCAAACTTCTGTGATTAAAAACTGAAAGATGTTCCAAAAACAAGCCAGCTGTCCCTGAGTTTCTCCTTTTCTTCCTGCAGATCTTTCCATCCAGTCGTTTTCTTTCTGCATTAATGAACACCAGCTTCGCTCTCCGAGTGCCAGAGCGACGCATCGGAACCGATCAGTCATCAGGATAAATATGTTTACTGAAGTATCTGGATGCCAGACGATCTGTGGCAAAGAGAAATCCAAAAATGATTTTTTTTTTTTTTATGGGGAAAAAAAATGATGAAAGCAAAATATGTTTTAAATCTGATCCTTAAAGGAAAGTTAAAAAGAGAGGAATGAATTCAAACTGCTGTGAAGAAGGGAGGCTGAGCTAAAGGTGGAAAATAAACAAAGCAGAGAGAAATAAAGAGGGAAAAATAAAACTGACATAAACAGTAAACAGAAAGTAATACAGGGAGTAAATTAAAATAAAGCAAAAGAACAATGAAGAAATGACCAAAACAGAAACCTAAATAAATCTCTAACACATAAAAATCATGATATGTATCTATTTCAGGTTAACAGAGAAACCAGAGAGAATCCACACTTTAGACAAAGAATATGCAAACTGCAGAAAAAACTCTGGGATTTGAACCTACAACCTTTTAGCTGCAGCGACAATGTTAACACTGCAAAATCACAAAACCTTAACAAGTCGTTTTAGTTTATAATGCAAATATCTTGGTGCTCTTGCAATGACTTACAAGTAGCTTTACAACAAGATAAAGGAGTTTCTTTTAAGTTATTAATTCTTTAACGTTGATAAAAAAAAAATACTTGTTTCATTAGCAGATAATTTGACTTAAATCAAGACATTTTCCCATTTTTTGTGGCCTGTGGACTGATTTTGATGCAGATGGAGACTTTTCATTTATAATAAGGTTAAAGTTATAGCAACAAGACAAAGAATTAATATTTTTATAATAAATAGAGTCAAGAGATTTTGTTGCCTTGTCCAAACTAATTTATCAAACTTGGATAAACAAACAAAAAAAAACCTCTGATGCAAAATAATGTTTACATTTCTGGATCTACAGTAAAAAAAAAATTAACTATTTAATTTGCTTGATTTTACTTTTTTGTTTTTACTTTTATTTTCTTGGCCGGTCAGTACTTTTGACTCAACGATTTCGGCCCTTAAGACAAAAAGTTTGGACATTATTTTATTTTTTCTAATTTATTTGCTCGTGTTTCTTTTTTGTTTTCTTTTTCTTATAACTTTAAGATTCACTGGCATAAAATGTAAAAACTTGTGATTTCTTCCCCTCTCTGGAAATTTGGACCAAGACTATTCAAGCTTCTGCGGAAAACGTTTTAATTGGTGTGTCATGTTAACAGCACTGGCCATGGAAGCTGTAAACGTGTGACTTTAATTATCTCATAATAAAAGACAGATCCTAATGGCTGGACTTGTTTGATTTGCACAAATGAAAGTCACATGTTGAGACCAGATGCTCGGGCAAAACATTTTTTAGTGCTGTGTTTTCAACCCAGAGATGTTTGTTTTTTGTTGTTTTTTTATAGGATTTAATTGATACCAGATAAATATTGTGTTTTGAACATTTCCAACTGTCTGTATCTGTAACATTTATGCATAATTAAAGTGAAACTGAAGTAAAATACTGCAAATCTTTTTCCGAAAACATGCGAGAATGCAAGACCAGATTAGAAAACAATGAAATAGCAAATATTGCCATGACATCAGCTTCGATGTTTTCCTCATTTCTCTCAAATAATTGTTGCGTTGTAAAGAGTTTGATGTTAAAATTGAGCAGAAACTTTGCAGACATATTGGTTAGAGCTGCTTCACTGGCTCAGTAACGCACCGCTAAAAATTAACAACAGAAAAAAATTAATGGACTGAATCTGTGGCTGTAGAGCTGCTGTTCTCTTGGCTTGAGTAACTAACAAAACAAAAACATGGGATGTGCAAGAAGCAAGGAAGTGAGCATGTAAACAAGCTTGCAAAAGCAATCAGAGTTTTGTCACATTTCAACCACATTTTAGTATTTTATTTTATTGAAAGAGCAGCACAAAGTGGAAAACAGTGGACAGGCTGCGTTGTTGAATAAAACCTGCTAACTGTGAACTGAGTCTGTATTCAGCTGTTATAGTGAGTCGATATTTTGCACAAGATTAACACAAAGTTTCCTCTTCAAAAGTTTAGATACTCATTCCCAGATTATTTTTTGGGTCATTATGGATATTTAATTTGAAAACATAATTTTTTTTGCCCCTAAACCCTTGAAGCAACACAACGTGGAAGCTAGCTTTCAATTCATCCATGTGGTAAAATTATATTTCACTAATTTTTCACTTCTTGAGCAACTTATATTATTAGATAAATGGTGTAATGTTTCCAAATCAGGACTGGATTATCCCAGATTAAGTGCTAATCCTCTGTGTTATGTCTAGTTTGATCTATGATTCCTTCATTCCAAAATGCAGGATTTGTTTTTATTTGTTTGCCATCTACACTGACTCCAGTTCAAGGTTTCCAGTCTAACTGGGTCCATTTTAGAGAATAAATTAACCCCAAACCATCTTGTGACAGCGAGTGGGATTAACTGTTTGAGGTTAATAGAGGTCAGTTATTCTGTTATTCCTCAATTTTCAGAAAATGGAGGTCAGATTCAAGATTTTATCTTTTAGATATTAATAATTAATTAATTAATTAATTACTGTAATCTGATTTATATCAGTTTATTTATCAATCAGTCAAAATTTGGTACCATAAATATGAATGTGAGCTGTTTGGTTTGAAATCATCGAATAGCAAAGTCTGGAAGAAAAAACTTTTTAAAATTCTCAGTTATTATTTTTTTAAAACTTGTACAAAATATAAAAATAAACACTTTTCCAGACTTTTTAACGCAGCAGGAACTTTGTTTTTATAGTAACGACTCTGCTGGCTTTTAATCTTTCCATTCTTCTTTACAAAACACTTCAGTCAAATCAGATTGTGAGCATCTGTGAACATCAGCTTTTAAGCATTGCTAAAGATTCTTAATTTGATTTAGACTTGGACTTTGACTAGACCAATTAAGATATGATTTCAGCCATTTTGCTCTAGTTCTGGCTGGATGTTTAGGTTTGTTTTCCTACAGAAAGTATCAATTTCTTCCAGCTGCTCGGAGCTCTTCTTGTTCAGCTTTTGACTCTGGATCAGAGCTTTATACACACGCAAAAGCAGAGGATGATTAAATGGATGCAGGTCCGGGTCCAATCTGAAAAATGGAGCTGTAGGTACAGAAAAGAAGAAGCTGACTCAACAAGATTAAACAGAAAATAAACAACTGTGACAGTGATGATTGCCTTGCATCTGGACCAGCGTTTGTGTTTAAAAACATTCGACGTCTTTGACTTTCACCTCCTCCTCCACAATGGAGGGAAAAAAAAAATACGACTGATGATGTGCTAAGAATAAAACCCCAGATGTGATTTCACCAGAGGGGGTAAAAATGAGATCTGTCCTGCAGGAAGGCGCTTTACATTATGTTGACACACTTTTTCAAGGTGACTTTAAATGACACAAACCCCACAGAAAATACGAGACGCCCAGCAGCAGCAGCAGCAGGAGCAGCGTGAAGGAATGGAGCTGCAGATTCTGAGACGTATCAATAAATGTGATCTGTGGGGCGGCAGCGAAGGCCGCAGATCTGCAGAGAGGAGATTCCTCTGTCGGTCTCACACACACACACACACACACACACACACACACACACACACACACACACACACACACACACACACACACATAACCCTGAGCCTTCAGCAGCATCAGTAAATCACTCCTTTCAGCTCCTCCCTTCTTTCTCCTTCTCCCCAAATTTCCCTCTTTTCTCCGTTTTTCTTTCTTTTTTCTTTTTTTTACAGCGCAGTCAGGAATGCTGGCTCTACAGGGTGGCTGCTGCTGCTGCTGCTCACTGGAGCGACTCACCTCCCATGTCTCACACTCATCCCATGTGTCTCTTATTAGCTACACTCACCCGAGAGAGGGAGGGATGGAGGGACGGAGGGAGAGGCTGGTGCAGAGGGGGAGGAGTGGGAGGAATTTGATATGCTTTGTGCACGAATGACTTGTATAAAACAAAAGACGGGGCAAAAACTCCGAAACACACACCAAGACTCGGGAAACTATAGCAAAAAAAGAGATTATAATTTATTCCCAGATTTTTTGTTTCTTTTGCCCTCATTTGCATCTTGTTTCACAAGGTAAATCGAAAATAAAAAATAAAAACCGACCGCCATACCATGAAAATGTAAAAAAATAATACAAATAATATGTGTTGTATATATAATTATATCATTATCAACAAACGGACGACATTAATCATAATAACAATACTATCATCATGAACAGAAACACTAAAATTGCTGGTCTCATGCATATCGAACGCCCCTCGGATACAAAAGAGGGGAGGATTTACTAAAAAGAGAACCAAAAGCTCCACCGGTTCAGAAGAAGCGCCTAGCTACATGCAACGACAGAAAAGAGACTCATGTACACATTCCTTCTGGCATCAAGTATTTTACAACATACTGTACTTCACAATCCTTCTCCCCTCCCGACTAATATACTGTACAGAGCACGATACAAAACAAGGTTAATACAGGGAAACGTTGGGACTCTGGTGCAGTTTGCAGGGACGATGTGCAACATTTTCACACCTTCTTCTTTTGTTAATCCTTCGAAACGTTCCCGTCCAGGTTCAGTTTGATGAGTTCCCTCTTTGTTTTCAGTGCTTTTCTTTTTGTTGTTTTTCTCGATTCAGTCTGTTCTTGCACAGATTCACGTGTTTTGTTTCGACTTCTTGCCCGAGCCGCTCTGCATCGTGTCCCCTCCCTCACAGGGTCTTGTCACTCTCTTTCTTCAGGTGACTGAAAGGTTAAGAAAAACATAAGAAGAAGAAGAAGAAGAAGAAGAGGAAGAAGTTTACTTTAATGGAAAGATCAGTATCATTACATGTGGTTCACTGATGCTTCTTTATAGATTGTGAGTAAAGGTTTTGATAGCATCCTCCACACACATGGTAAGCATTTCTAAGAAGCCTTAAAACAAATTCATCCGCAGCATGATCTCACACGGAAAAAGTAGAAAAATCCAACCTTTCGTTTGAGTGCTTTTATTTGTTTTTTAAAGAAGACGCCGTGGTTAACTCTTGGCAGCCCTAAAGGTGCATTTCCACTGAAAGATACTTTTCAAGATCCCCTGCAGAAACCAGAACCAAATCAGCGTCGCAGAGCAGAAACTGAAAGGTGAAGCTTTGTGTTGACCTTTGGTTTCGGCCCACTTTCTGTTCTGCAATTGTGTTTACAAACAAATTACTTAAACCGATTGCAGCTTTTTGGCCGATCACAGATCTTTAAAATGCCTGCCGATTCCGGTTTTAGCCAATACCATTTTTTTTGTCTGAAATGTTGCTAAATAAAGCAAGAAAGTCGCCGAGTTGGTAAAAGTGGGATGACGACATGACCTGGTGGGTCGGTCTGTCAGCCAAACCTCGATCACAGCAGAGCAGAAGAAGACAGAGGCTGATTTTTAGACATTTGCTGAGGTAGAGAAGATCTGCCGATCTCCCAAAATGAAGGACATCTGATCCGATTTCCCCTAATTTAAACCCAGCCTCAGTTTTCACAGTTTGCTTTCAAATACATTAATCAAATCTGTCAACCTTAGTGGAAATATTCAATTCAAGGAAGCAGAGGGAAACACTCGAATCAAAAGATTAGCTTTATTTACTAGAGAAAGTCAGACTATTCCAACCTTCTTCTGAGTTAAAAGTGATTTTAATTCAGTTTCAGTGTTTAAACACAATGACATAAATTGTGTTTTTTACTGCAGGTTGTAATCTCTCCTCCTTTTCTCTCATGCACAGAGTAAAGATCAACAAATGTAAATTCTCCATATTTCCACACGGCTTGGAGAGGCTTTTTAACACGAGAACCATGAAATAATCTCAGATTACATCAGTTGTGATCGAGTTTTCCTTTATTTTTAATGGCACTCTAGACTCTGTTGCTTTTGTGCAACATAATCTAAACACAAGAAATGGTCAGGTAGATAAAGATATTCCAGAATATTCTACTATTATTCCAGAACCCCCCCCCCAAAAAAATGTGGGGTAGATTTTAATTTTTCCCTCCAAACTAAGATACGCCTAAATAAAATTCAATGCAACAGATTTCCTTCAGAGGTTTACTTAAATCCAGTAAAAATCGGTTCTGTGAAAGTTTCAGAAAATTAGTGACAGAAAACTATGGAGTTAAATTGGGGCCATAAAGTTTGTTATAAAGAAAAACATAAATAAAAGAAACTGAAATACTTTTTTGAAACCAAAAAGTCTGGAAAGTAGTTTTGAACATTTTTTCAGTTTCAACTTTTTCAAGTTTTATTTGATTTTTTCTTTTTTTGACATAATTTATGGCCCTAGTTTAGCTCCATAGAAAACCTAAGAAGAAACATTTTATGATTAAAGCAAACTTAGGCTGAAAAACAACATCTCAAACTGGAAAAAGGCTTTACAGTTAAATTACAGGCTGCATTAATTAAGCAGCCAAAATTTTACAAAAAAAACTAATTATTTTTTTTTTATAGAACATATTTAGTTTTGGGTAAATATGTTCCATCCAAAACTCTTCAATTGGTAAAGGTTTAGCTTTAATTTGTCAAATTCTGTAATTAAGCAACTTTTTTAATCCAACTGTTAATGAGTTAATAAAAAAAATACTCAAAATACTTAAAAGTTTACTCCAATACTGAGTTGATGCTAAGTGAAGCAGAAACGGTTGAGGTTTTGATGTTAGAAGTTATTTTTTTTACAATTTAATAATGTATGTCAGACATGAGTTAAAACAACAGAAACAAACATAAATAACTACACGAATAAACCAAAACCAAAGTAAAACAACAATGAAAATAATGCAACAAAACCAAAAACGAATGTCAACATAGCGTGTCGAAAAGGAAGAAGCTTATTTAATAAAACTATAAATTATCAGCTGATTTTAACTGCAGATTATCAAGGTTTCACTAAAGGAATGCTAAGTCATTACATTTTAGGCAACAAAATGATTATTTTCTTATTTAAAAAGTGAATTTAAGTTGTTTCTTTGCATCTTTTTAATGTAATGTATAAAAAAGGCTTAAGTGGTTAATTGAAAAACCTGAAAAACGATTTTTCCTTCCAATTGAAAGAATAATCGATTACAGCTCAGACAGAACGGACGGACGGACGGCTTTAGCACCTGTAATACTCGTCCTGTGTGAGGGAGTGGTGGTGATGGTGGTGGATCCACTGCTGTTCCAGGGCCAGTCTCTGGATCTGCAGCTCCGCGCTCTGGGCCTGCTGCATGGCCTGGAGCTGATGGGCCGCTGACATGGGACCAGTGAGGGAGGAAGGCTGGGGCAAGTCACGGAAAGGAGCACCTGTCCCCACAGCAAAAAAAAGAGGGTCAGAGGTCACCGTCGAGAGAAAAGTGGCATGTCCGTAATCGTTGTTAGCACTGTGTTGTTTTTAGAGAAGAAAACTGAACGAGTACATGGACGAGGAGCCTTCTCCTCACCGAACAGCTGTTGGCGAAGCACCTCGCTGTCAGTGAGGGGGTGAGCCAGGATGGGCGTGCCGAGCGCTGCTCCTGGGTAGGGAAGGCGAGCCAAAGGAGACCCCGACGCCAACGGGTCCATCAGGGGGTGAACCCCGCCCGCCGCTGGATGCCAGTGATGTAATAGGAAATACAGGACACATTTAAAGTGAGTCAAAGCTTCAGAAGATGCTTTACAGTCAGGAGCTTTTATTAGATCAGATCAAAAGAAAGCCAGGGAATAGTGTTGAATATGATTAGTAGAACAAATATTTAATCACACAACTTTTATGTGGTTTTATTCCAGAAAACAACACGTAGAAAACATTCAAACAAGCGAGAGGAGAATAAGGCCTGCTATGTAGAGAAACTGACACATTTTTATACGTTTTTTCATTCACACAAAAATTCTGTCTGATCTAACTAAAAGTGGTTATTTATGAAAACTCTAAACAAAGTGGCCACTGGAGAAAACTCTGTTTTCATGTTTACGTGTGTAGACGTCATTACAATCTATGACATGATTCCCAATTGACATTGTCTGAATGTTTTAATAACTACATTCTAATACACTATCTAAAGTACTTCAACCCAAATACCTGGCTTTATAAATTAATCCAAACTCCTAACAGGAAGTCATGGTTGTTTTGAAACATTCTGATTGGCCGGCAGGTTTTAGCTTCGCGTTACACTTCTGGGTTTGGTGCGTTTAAAGTGGCGGATCTGTGCGGGTTCATGTGGATGAAAACTTTTCTGAAACTGATCCTGTGTGTCCGGTATTATTTTTTAAAACGACATGGAGTACGCTCTGACTAAAAGAAACAACTTTCAAACGGATTCAACCATCTAAAGAAAGAAAGATAATTTCAGAAAAACACTAGCCACATCAAATTACACTGTAGTTAGTGTACAGCAATCTGGTTAAATAAAGATTAATGTTTGAAACTACGTTGTCTTAAGATATCATCCTTTAGTTGATTATCCGATTTATAAGGTTTTATCCTTTTAATGCTTTGTCAAACGTTTCGTTTTTTGGCCCTAAATACTATTTTAAATTGTATTTTTTTATACATCTACCTTAAAAATAAGAACAGATCACATCTTTATGAGAGGCTGCTGCGTGCTAAAAGATAAGCATGAATTATTGACATGTCAGAGCTGAATGACTTGATAATTTAAAGACATAATGAGACTCAAACTACCTAAGAAAAAGAAAAACATTAAACCACCTAAAGGAAAGTAAAAGAAATACTAACTGAGATTAAAGATTACAAGAAAGTCTGGCACCTTGGAAGGAAAATGTAAATAAAAGAGAAAATTACTTTTTCACATATTTGTAAATGTTGAAAAAATTCTGGCCCTGGTTTTCTTTCATCAATTTATTTGCACTACAGCAGGGAAAATAAGAATTTGATACACTGACAAAGTTTCCCAAAGAATAAAGAGGTCTGTAAATTTCATCAAACTGTGAGACAGAATAGAATAAAAATATCATTTACAGTCCCACAGTGGGGCATTTCAAGTTTAACGGCAGCAAGTCAAAGGTATGTACAGAGATAACATATATACAAGCAAGAATAAGAGACTGTAAATAATACTGTACAGTTATTAAAATACTTTTAAACCAGTGGTCTTAAGCTTCATTCCTCGAGGGTTGGAGTCCTGCAACTTTTACATGTGTCCCTTGCCCTACACTCGTGCATTACAAGGTGAAACTGCCTCACTAGCACACAGTCATACTCTACAGAGCTCTGCTAATGAGCTCATATTGAAGCTGTGCTGAAGCAGAAAGACATTGCGGGACTCTGGGTGTTGAGGAGGACTGGAGTTTGACACCACTGTTTTTAACCAAATCATCTATTAAACGCTCATTTTATGCTGTAAGAACACTAAAATATCATGCATTGTTTGTTTCTTATGTGAAAGTAGCAAATGTAATGATCAATACTGTTTTTCGAACTAAAGGACCAGAAAACTACTAGAACCATCAGAAATTATATTTTTTCTAAGATAACAGTGAGATTAAAAAATATATATTTTTTGGAAGTTGTCTGTTTTTTCAACTGAATTAGGACTATTTTGCACCGTAGAATCCAAACATGACATAGATTTTTCTCAATCAGGTTAGGTTTCTATAAAAATTTAATTTTTGTGACATTATCAGTTCATTTCTGTTTATATTTCTCATCCAAAAAAGGTCTTAGGAGAAAAAAGAACGTTTCCTAACAGAGTATTAATGAGATGTTACAAACTTGGATTTCTGTAAATTGTACAATAAACACTATTAAGGACTATTAACGACATGTAAAATGAACATTACGTCTCCATTGTGTAAAATTCTCCATCTCTTTTCTGTCCTGATGGACTCTCTCCTCCTGCTCATCACTCATTGATCCCAGACTCTCAGCAAACCGATCCATATGTGAGAACAAGTTGTGCATTTTGATGCTCATGTTGCTCCATAGTTCAGAAAATTGACCAGATTGAGCAAAACCAATGTGATTTTTTTTTTACCCTAAAACAGTTGAAAGTTTTTTGGCTGCTGACCAGTGTAATCAATCATTTACAATCATTGTAAGTAAGAACGAAGTTTGACTCTTTGCGTTTGGGCTTTTGTTGCATTTTGAGATCTGGAAACAGCATGATCTGTTAATTACTAACTAAGCAGCTGTTTTGAAGTAACGTTGTGTGTCTAACTTGGCTCATATTGACAGATCTGTGGTGTGTGGTGTGAGCTGACTCTGACAGCAATGGTAATAGCAGTTGGTACCTGTGTCTTGCTGGTGCAGGTGAAGATGTGAGTGGATGTGTGAATGCTGGTGATGATGAGGCGTTACATTCAACATCTGAAGACGCCCCAGGTTCTCTCCTCCACCTCCTCCCCCTGTTCCGCCTCCATTCCCCCCTCCTGCTCCTCCGCCTCCCCCACTCCCTCCCCTTTCTCGCTCCCTCTCTCTTTCTCGCTCTCTGTCCCCAAAGGCCGTCAAAGCTGCTCTGTCCCGCTCCCTCTCCCGTTCCCTCGCTCCGCTCCTGTCACGCTCGTACGAGGCAGGGGAGCGCGTGGGAGTCGGATAAGTCTCGGGCGGAGCAGCTGGGGCAGGAGGCGGAGGCACATGAGAGGACAGGGAGTTAGGGAAAGAAGAGTGGGGCACTGGGTGATGAAGTGAGGAAGAGTTGGAGGTCGGTGGAGCAGGTTGAGGAGGAGCGGCTGGAGGTGCGGAAGGTGGTGCCGGGGCTGAGGGGGCGGCCAGTGGGGCAGATGAAGGGTGAGAGGGGAGAGAAGGTGGAAGGAGGGATGAAGGAGGAGGATTAGACAGTGACTGTGGAGCAGGTGGTTGTGGAGGTCGGGTTACTTGTGCCAGGGTTGGGTTTTGAAGGTGTGGAGGTCCAGGTGGAGCTGGAGGAGGAGGAGTGCCATAGAGTGATACCTCATTAGCTGCTGCACCTCCTGCAAGCAGCAGGGAGTGAGCATGTGCATGGGCGTTGCTGTGGGCATGCGCATGCGAATGAGCAAGCGCAATAGCTGCAGGGTCGGGTATGGATCCCGCAGGATAAACCCGCTCATCACTCTTAAACTCAAATCCAGGCTTTAGCCGATCTCGATGAGCTGCCATTGCGTGAGGGAAACCCATGCCTCCCAAACCTGCACCGCCAATTCCTCCTGGTACGGGGCCCCCGGCCACCCCAGGGTGCCCAGGCACACCTGGACCACCTTCAAGGCTGCCACCGTACAAAAAGCCTAAGATGGCTGCTGCCGTTGCTGCATCAGTGGGAAGGTGGTGTGGGTGACTCAAAGCATGGTTTTGTAGTTGAGGGAGGAAGAATGAGGGGTGGACATGGGGGTGACCATGGTGAACTTGAGGGTGGTGTGCCTGAGCACGACTCGCTGCCCCAAGAGGAGACATGGCATGTGGGCGAGCGTATTCGCTCAGGGTCCTCAGGGCTGGTGTGTCAGGTCCTAAATATGGACCTCCTAACCCAATCCCCAGGGCCCCCTGAGGCCCACCAACCACTGCCGATGCCCCACCCATGGTGGGTAAGAGAAGGGAGTGGGGAATAGCGTGGGACAGAGAGGGGTGGAGATGATGTGTCGGTGGAAGATGAGCATGCGGATGTGAGGGGTGGTGCTGGGGGTGAGCGGGAGGGTGGGCGACTACGTTGGCGGAGGAAGAGGCAGAGGAAGAGGAAGGGTCAAGAATGATGGAGGACGAGGGGGGGAAGAAGAGCGAGGAACCCTGGCGTCCCCCTCCAGCAGCACTGACATCCTTCTGGTTCTGGAAGATAAAACAGACGGACAGTAAATCATGTGTATGTGACCTAAGTTCCTCCCCTCCCTTCAACAGATCAATTTAATCTACATCGAATCCATAAAATCTGACACTGGACATAATTATCACACTGAAATGTGCACACCTGTAGATGCCGATCCAGTTCTCTCTCACGCTCTCTTTCCCGTTCCCTTTCTTTCTCTCTCAGGTCTCTGGCCCTCTGCTCAACTTCCCTGCGAGCTCTTTCAATCATCTCGTTCCTCTTTTTCCACAGTTTGGAGCCGTCCAATGGGACAAAGAGGACATCGCTACGAGCACAGGAGTTCCTGCTGCCTCTATCAAGGACCTTGTGAAACCTAGAATCATTGGACATAGTGTTTACAACTATTAGGAGTTAGTCGGATGTTAAGAACTAAAAGCACTTTGCAAATACGCCTCTTGAACTTTTTCACATAACCACAAACTTCGGTGTACTTTATTGGGATTTTATGTGTGTATACGCGTAAAGCAGAGTTAGGCCCAGGAAGTGTGGTGAGATTGTTAAGCTGTTGAGAGAAAGTCAGAGGAGCAGTTTGTCACAAGGAGACACAAGTCCAAAATCTAAACGATAATATCAGTTAAAAGTATTGAAAAGTGACTCAGTCTGTTTTGAAAAAAAAAAGAAAAGAAAGGGAAGCATCTTCATGGGCAAAAAGATAATAGAAACACACACCAAAGGACTAATTCCAGGAAAAGGTATTAACTCTGGCAGGGCGGAATATATTAGCATGTCCTCAGATTATTATTTCTAAAATACTCTAAAGATAATTTTCCGTCCATTACAAAATTATACTGTATTTTATGTTGGTACATCACATAAAATCCCAAAAAATTCATACAAGTTTGTGCGTATAGTGCAGAGGTGCTCAAGTCCAGTCCTCGAGTGATACCATCCTGCAACTTTTAGATGCATTCTTATTCCACCAGACTGGGATCAAATGGCTGAATTCCTTCATCAGCACTCATTCAGCTCTGAACAGGCCTGGTAATGAGCCATTCATTTGATTCAGGTGTGTTGGAGAAGAGATGCATCGGAAAGTTGCAGGATGGTAGCGCTTGAGGACTGGACTTGAGCACCCATGGCCTAGTGTGATAAAATGCTAAATGTGAAAAATCTCAGAGGTATTAATACTTTTGCAAGGCTCTTTATTCCAGTTTGATTTTACCGTGCTGATTGGCTGGCGTGAATAGGAATATCCACGTGTTTTGGTTCAGGTGAGGGACTTCTTAACACCGGGGGAGGGCTTTCGGTTTCTTCCCGGTCCTCTGGTGGTTCTTCCTTGATGACGGCTGTTGGAGGTAGACCTGAGTCTGAGTGTCCCTCCACACCAGGAAGTGATGAGGTCAAGGCAGGTGTTGAGACGTTGCTGTTGTTGTTGGTGGAGTTACTAAGAGGTGGTGGGGCCTTCGAGACATTCTGAGGTGAGGGTGCCTGTGAGTTTGTGTTGCTGCTACTGCTGACTGCGCTACTGTTGCCACTGCTGTTTGCCATGGTGCTGCCATTGCTTCCATTGGAGTGATATGTGCCACTGAACTGAGGATGATTGTTCAAAGTGCCATGGAAAGACGAAGGGCGGCATCCAGGTGAACAGCTGGATGACACACCTGGAACGGGAAGTTGTGAGGTGGGTGCAGAGGAAGAACCAGAGGGAAAGGATGAGAAGGCTCCCATCTGATTGGTAGATGGGCTAGGTAAGGGAGATAGAGGTGTTGGAGGAGTTTGAGCAGAGGACTGATAGTGTGGAGGACGTGTACTAGGTCCCATAGTTGATTGAGGTGCCTGGGAATGGGAGCTTTGAGGGGGGTGTACAGGTGGCTGAGGAGGCGGATGTGGGTATTGTCCATGATGGCTGGAAGAGGAGGAAGGAGAGAGTGCAGGAGGCTGATTAGGGCCTCCACGGCTTTGGTAGAGAGCAGACTCTCGCAGGTTTGAATCCCTCTCTCTGTCTTTGGGCCCAGGCTGGTAGTGGGGGTGAGGTGGGTGGGCGTGTTGCGTTCCTCCTGTCCCTGGGTACTCTCGTCCCAGGTTTGGAGTCACTCCAGGGGAGCTTAGGTACTCTCGATTTGTGCCAGCAGAAGGAGGTGCCCCAGCTGGAAAGTCTTTTCCTCCACTTGGAGGATAGTCTCTGTGAAAGTGATCTGCTCCAGTTGAAGGCATTTGTGTCTGGTCCATGGGTGGGGGGAAATCCCTGTTGGATGAATTTGGGGGATGAGAATGGGGATGCTGGGGAAGAGAGGAATGAGAAGGGTGATTGAGATTGTTTTGGGGTGACGCAGGTGGGTCACGGTTTAGCATGGGGGCGACTGGTAGACCACTGGTTGAACTTGGGGGGTTTCCTGGTGGTATGGAGTTGTTATTAGGGTTGCTGTTGCTCACAACCTCTCTTGTCTGGCTCCCAAACTCACTCCATCTGTTGCCATCTTTGTCTCTTGGGTGCCCCCCTGTGGGTACAGTGGGGCCAAAGTCTCTATTCTGATTTTGATTTGGGAGATTAAACTCCCTTCCTCCTTCCCGTTCCCTTTCACGCTCCCTGTCCCTGAATGCTGAACCAAAGTCTCTTCGATCTGGACCTAAGTTGGGCCCATCTCTTCCTGAGCCTTGGTACTCCCTGTTCTGCCCTACGGGCATCCCCCCAAACTCCCGAGCTGGAATGCTGTTGGGGACACTCATTGCACCACAGCCATTATTACTACTCCCCCCTCCGTTACTGTTGCTGCTGTTGCCAACAGGAGCAGAAAACTCTCTGGTGAGCTCTCTCCCACCACACTCCCCTCTTACTCCCCTCTCTCTCTCTCCTGTGGGGCCCCTCTCCCTGTCCCCTCCCCCTCCAGCGTACCTGGGAAGGTACTCTCTGTGAGGGTGGGGGTGAGGATGGGGAAGGTAAGAGGGGTGGGATGAGGAGTGGCGAGAGGATGGCGGGTTGTAGACGGAGGGAAGTTGCTGCTGCTGCACGGGGGGCTGGTGCTGTGGGTGGTGGCTGCCAGGATAGCGGGAGTAGCCCCAGCTCCCCTGGCAACCAGTTGCTGCCCCGCCCTGCCAACTGGAGCTGTAGTGGTGAGGATGGCTAGAGGGCTGGGTCTGAGGCTGAGACTGGGACAGGGGCTGAGGGCCGCACTGTGGCAGCAAAGAAGGAGGCGTGGACTGAGCCTTGTCCATGAGTTTCTCTGTTTTTTCAGTTTTGTCTCTTTCTGTCTTAACCTCAGCCGGCAGGTTTTGTCCCCCAAGCTCCAACGGCTTCAGGGCAGGTGGAGGAGGAAGTGGAGGGGGCAACGAATGGGGAATGTTGGGGCTGTTATGTGAAAAATCTCCTCCAGAGATGGTTGTCTTGTTTATGCACTGTGTGCTGGCTTTGGAAGTCATTCTGTTGCTTTCAACACCTGCTGGTGAGCCATACTCAACTTTACACATCAATTTGGAGTCCAGGGAGAAATATGATTTCCTCCCACTATTGCTGTCATTCGATGAATCTCCTCCTCGAACAGAAGGAGTTAGACTAGAGGAAGAGCAGGGAGTAGAAGGGGGCTTCAGAGATGAAGAATCTTCAATTGTCTCTACGTCTCGTTTTTCCCCATCGCCACACGATTCTTCTCCTCTCCCCTCTCGTAACGTTCTCCTGTCCTCCCCGGTCACTTTCCCTGCACCAACCTCTTTACCTTTCTCACGTTCTCCTTGCTTTGGTGAATCGGGCCCATCAGAATCAGAGTCCAGGCTACCCAAAGGGGAAGCAGAAAGACTCGGAGATGAGGATCGATTGTCCTGGTCTATATCCCGCCCGCTGCTCAGGCTGCTACTGCTATTGGCCAGGCTCCCTACGGCCGAACTCCTACTGCCCTGGGATTGGCCATCTTCATTGTCACTCTCCCGAGATTGGCTTGCAGCTGAGGTTGGAGGTGGAACAGTGGAAGTTGTTGAGCTTTCAGTCAAGTGCGTTGATGTTGGAGAATTTGGGTTTGGTGCTGAATCCTAACAAAAAACAAAACAAAACAAAAAAAAAAACGAGTAGCTTTAGAGTGAGGTAGAGTCAAAAATAGATTTCTCTCAAAGACAGCAAGGTGCAAGTTGCTTAATAAGGGATCTTTATATAAGAAGCTGACGACATGTAACACAAACCTGAACTTTCTGTCTCTTTGGAGGTGATACAAGTTCCTCCCCCTCACTCTCTGATGAATCATGTCCTTGTGATCTGCAACTGAAGCGATTTCCAGCCAGTTCCTCACCACCACCTCTTTGCTAAAACAACACAAGAGTTTTAATTTTGTTGTACTGAATCCATAATAGGCTCATATCTGTTTTTAGAACAAAGCCTGCAGCTGCATGCGTTTAAACACGAAGCATCAAAGATTTTAACGTGCTGACAAAAATGAATTAAACAGTTCTTAATACTGCAAGGGTATGTCTGTAGCAACCATACTGATGACTCACTCACACACACACACACACACACACACACACACACACACACACACACACACACCAAATTCAAAATAGGCTGTTTTTCTTTGTTTCATGACTTTTATCATTTGCATGCATGCATATTATTACAGTCAGGACAGTGAGAGGTAACAATGAGCACAAAGAGATGAGCTCTAACCGTCTGCCGGTCGGTGCGTTCAGGGCGAGTTGGGCTGGTGTGCGGGCGCCTGCCCCTTCTCTCCTCACTCGCCCCCCTCCTTCGCCCACTGCGCATGGGCATCTGCAAAGTCCACCAAAAGGGGAAAACATGGTGGGGTGGTGAAAAGTGTTAAATGTTTATGTGTTGGAGAAGAGAAAGAAGGAGAACAAGAGATAATTGAAAGAAAAACAAGAGAGTTATTTGAAACAAAAGAGTTGGGGCAGTAGTTTAGGGTAGCAGTAGTAAAGGGAAAAATGAAGAAAAGAAGAAAGAGCAGGAACAACAACAAAGAGAAGGGGATAATGACTAACCTGACATTTTGAAAAATTATCTAATTTCTTACTAATTATGACATAATAAGACAAACATTGAGAAATTAAGCAGGTATGTACCCAATGACAATTCTACAAAAACAGAAAAGCTAAGCCTTGCGCATACCGATTCTTTGTGCGTTCTTGTTTTCATTATCTTTCCTTTATAACGTCCATTTCACAACAGAAGCCATTCCAGGAACAGAACTGGTTCCAGTTGTTTACCAATTGCAAGAGCTACAAAAACCTGCAAAGAAACAGAAGAGAAGAAAGCATGAGTCAACGTGAAGGGAATTCTGCTCAAGTACTCAATGTTTCTGTGAAAAAAAATAAAAAACACGATGAAAGGACGCGGTGGTCATTGACGTCATTTTGCTATCTGTACTCGCAGGGGAGTTTGTGAACTGGAGACATTTTTAAAGACATGGAGACTATAAGAGCAGAAAAACAGCATTTAAATTCGCTGCATGCTCCACACTGTATCGGCACCACTGCTCTTCGCTGCACTCAAAACAATCTCCTCTCTGCTCTTAGGTTTCAGCACAGCAACGGAGAACTACAATCTCAAGAGGTTCATCCACTCCGACTGTCAGAATACACCGTTTGGTAGAGCTGCAACACTGGGATACTGGCATTTTGGAATGTAGTCTGTAGGAGACATACTGGGAATGAGAGCCACACCCCCCCTCCTTCTTCTTCCACCTTTCCCACTACAACCCACAGCTACTTGTGGTTAACCCACATGACCTGGTTATGGTCAGAAGAATCACAAGCTTATTTATTCAGCAACCCATTAGGGGAACGAACAATGTCAAGATTCTTTTTTCCATGTGGTTCTGCTCGACAGCAAACAGTAGGCAGTCATCGGGTTGGTCTAATCCATTCATTCATGTGCCACTATGATGAAAAAAATGGCTCATGAATATTAAATGAGGTTAAAAATAGTGTGTAGGGTTGTAAGAGAAAAGAAAGAACAGCTAGAGTAGAGCCAGAGTGTATGAACACTGTAGGTGAGTCATGTAGCAGCTTTACTACACACACATTAATTAAATAAAAAGCTCCTGCAGCAAGTGTGAAATCAGGAAAGTCACAATCACTGATTTTAATGAATATACACTCACTGGTCTCTTCATTAGTCACAGCTGTTCAGTTGCTTACAAAATAAATAGCAACTTAGCCAATCACATGTCAGCAACTCCATGTATTTATGCATCCAGATGTGCTGAGGAGGATATGCTGAAGTTCAAAGCACCAGCAACAATATTTAAGAGATTCTGAACGTGGCATAGTTGTTTGTGTCAGGCGAGCTGGTCTGATTATTTCAGAAGCTGTTGATCAGTGGAACTGTCACGCATGACCGTGTTTCTGGTTTATGGAGAGTTGAGAGAGAAAATATCAAGTGAGCAGCAGTTATGTGGACAGAAACGCTTTGTTGAAGGCAGAACGGCTCATAGGGCCAGAAAGGCAACCGTAGCTCAAGTTACCACTAGTTACAACCAAGGAAAGTGAAATACAAAACACTTTGACCCTTAAAGCAGACTGACTACAACAGCAGAAGAGCATTCCCGTCAGCTAAAAACCTAAAAATAACACTGAAGTTGAACAGGACAACCAAATCTCCACAGTATCTGCCATATTGATACCTTAGGGTCATAGATGACATGAAAGCATGAATCCCTTCAGTCTTGTTTCAATGGTTCAGGTTGGTTATAGTTCTTCTATCCCTATTGTTTCACTTATCTGAGACTGGGTTGGACTCACGGATAAAGAAATGCAGACATCCTTCTCCCCCAGTAACACTGTTGCTCATTCTGGGGGTCTCAAGGTGTTACTACACCAATGTAATCAACTAGCAGGTTCTGCTCTGGGCTGTCCTCTCAGTCGGATGTACCCAGTAAACCTCCAAAGGAAGGCATCTTGATCAGATGCCCAAATCCCCTCAAGTCACCCCTTTTGATGTGGAAGAGCAACTCCATACTGAACTCCCTCAAAGATGATGGTATTTCACCTACTACATCTAAGGCTCAGTCCAACCGTTGCATGGAGGAGTGGTGCGATGGTCTGGGGAAAATTAGTACCAACTAGTATCATTTAAATACCAAAGCCTACCTGAGTATCGCTGATGACCGTATCTGCCCATCTTATGACAGCTACTTCCAGTATGAAGGGCATCATGTCACAAAATCAGATCATCTCAAACTGTTTTCTTGACAATGACTAAATAAGCTTCTACAAGCTTAAGCTTTCAATAACGAATAACTCTTTTAGGATAAAGTGGACATGAAGATTTGCAACACAGATGTAAAGCAGATAAATCTGCAGCAACTGCGTGATGTGATTACATCAACATGGACCAAAAACTTGGAGTAATGTTTCTGATACCTTGTTGAATCTACTCCACAATGAATTAAGGTATCTCTAAGGCAAAAGGGAGGTCCAGCCTGGTTATACCCAAGTGGTGGACCAACATATCCTATTGCTGAGTCTTGCCAACCTTTGGTGTAGGGGGATATGTTCTTGGCACACTTTGGGCCCCTTGATACCAATTAAAAATAGCTTAGACTTAAAAGCCTGCTGAACATGCCAATGAATTCTCTGTAACTATCACCAGATCTCAAAGAAATAGAGGACATTTGTCATGAGGCGTTCAACCAACAAATCTGCAGCCACTGAATGAACCATCCTCTCAAAATGGACCAAAATATGTGTTCCACGAATTATTCATGTTCACCTAATCATGTGCTAGCCAAGGCATAAGACATAGTCCCTTAATTTACCTGCAGATAAATTGATTAATAACGCAGCAGCAGCAGCATCCAGTAGGGGGTCTGAACAATGCCTCTCAGTTACAGGTGGCATCCTTGCTGGCCTGCCAGTGGTCCACCGGTCATCCAACACCAGCACTGTCACCACCAACTCGCAGCACATGCATCATCAACAAACTGGCCTCTTCTCTCTGCGTGTGTGATGCAAAGCAGCAGCATGCAGCGGCTCTGCTTACATCACCAACGATCGTGCACCGCAACGACTCTTTTCTTCCTGCAAAAATGTTACTGATACACATGCAGGGGGGGGAGGGGGGGGGACCGAGCATAGCTGCAGCCTATATGCTACCAACAGCGGAGCCCCTGCCAGAACAGCCAGCTCCTCTACGGCGACGTGTTCAGCAGCACATACATGACTCCCCAGTCTGCACGGATGTCTGTTTTCAAAGCGATGCACATGTTAGAAAAAGGTGAATCGGAATGGCGATTTGCTTTGGCTCCCCTCAGACCCCATTTTTTTCCCCTCGCAGGAATGTGGATGCACCGCGTCGTGCAGCATTTATTCGCCAGGACGTAATTTTTTTTAGATGTAGCAACGCAGATTGATGATGATTGTGATGATGAGGATGATGATGATGATGATTAGCGCACAAAGAGTAGGTACAAAAAATGGCATGGTGAGAACAAACGTGGCTGACAAACAGAGGAGTGTAAGAATCCATTTTCTGCTTCTTACCTATAATATCCAGCGATGCGTTCTCCCACTTTGCCTTTCCCCCCTTGTATGTGTGTGTGCGTGTGTGTTTTTTCCTCTCTCTCTCTCCTTTTTTTTTTTTTTTTTTTTTTTTTTTTTTTTTCCCCCCGACACCCCCACCCCAGGGGCCCGGGGGTTTCTCCGGAGGCCTGGGC